TGTTCTGAATGCGAAACTGGTTATTATCTCGAAAAAGGTAAATGCACACAAGAAGTAACTTGTCAAGCTTCTGCAACTGGATGTTCGAAATGCAAATAGGATGCAACAACTTGTGTTTCATGCAAAGCAGGATTTTATCTTGAAGGAAGTAAATGCAAAGTATGTGCAACTGGCTGTAAAGAATGCAGTGGTGCTACTAAATGTATCAGTTGTAGTGATGGATATTATCTAGATGGTAATATATGCAAAAGATGTACAACTGGCTGTTCGAAATGTAGTGCTGCTTCTACATGTACTGGATGTAGCGATGGCTATTATCTTGAAGGAGGTAAATGTAAAGTATGTAAAACTGGCTGTTCGTAATGTAGTGGTGCTAATATTTGTTCTGCACGCAGTGATGGGTATTATAAAAGTGGTAAAACATGCACTACATGTTTGGCAGATTATAAATGTGCCACTTGTGTTGAAGACAAAACAGATATCAATAAAATCAAATGTACTAAATGTAATATCAATACCAACTACAAATACATGAATGGTAATAAATGTGACGATTGTTCAATTGGAAAAATCACATCAAGAAATACATGTGATACAACAGTAAATGCATGTGGAAGTGGAAGTAAATGTGCTGCATGTGTGGAAGTTACTAAGAAACAAACAATCAAATGCACCAAATGCGCCACACAAACTGATTACATCAATCTTGATGAAACATGTGATAAAACTTGTAAAACTGGTAAAGCTAATAAAGAAACTATGAATTGTGAAAAATGCGCTATTGGTGGCTGCGAAACTTGTGAAACAGTTGCATCTGCTGAACAATGCACCAAGTGTGAAAACAAATATATTGCTACCGACAAAATTTCATGTGTTAATAAATGCACCACTGGTAAATCAGTTGATACCCCAATCAAAAAGTGTGATATGTGTGCTACTTCTAATTGTGTTGTTTGTGATAAAGACGACAAGTGCACTAAATGCAAAACCGATTTTAATCTGGTGTCTGACAATTTGAAGTGTGTTGAGAAATGTCCAGAAGGATATAATACAGATAAAACTAATAAAAAATGCATAAAATGTGTTGTTGAAGGTTGCGCAACTTGTGAAAAGGTAGATGAGTGCACTGCCTGTATGGCAGAATACAAGTTGGAAGGAGGAAAATGCAGTGGAGCTCATGCCATTTCCGCGATTATGGCTATGGTCGTTATGGCATTCTTATTCTAAAATTCTAAACAAAGAATTTTAATCATTTTTATTTGGATAGAAATTATATAATATATTAAACACAATGGTATATATTATATTTATTGAACTTATTATTAATTATTATGAATTTTTGGAAATTAATATTAACTATACAAACATATTTGAAATTGATATGATTTTTCAATTGTTGTGTTAATAATAAAAGTGTTAATATATTAGGGTTTATCCATGTAGAAATGGTGAATCCCTTTTATTTTTGTTTAAAAACTCCAAATATTCGTTATACACCATATATTATGATTTTTAAAATTAATAATTATTATTTATATTCATTTATGGGACGAAAATCATACACCAACATGAATACCCCCATAAGGAGTATTTTCAAATTTCGAAATAATTTCGAAATAGAAAAAAACGCTATTTTCAGCCTTTTTTAAGTGGTAAAATTATAATAGATCAAAATAAACAAATCAAATAACTATCAAATTACTAATAAATGAATCATCCCGTTTATTTGATATATGTAACACTATTTTTTTCGTTTTAATTAAAAAAACATTTTAAAAAGTGATTAATGTTTTAATAATTAGGATAAATTCCTGTTTTTGCATTAAACAATATTTTTTAATATCATTTTGAAATTAAGGCATTTTTTGTTAATAGTGGCTCAAAAATGCATTTATTATCACTTTTTAAAAATAATATTTTATTTATATAAACACTCCATTGGTTTAATATTTTAATAATAATATTTGAAAATTGAAATTTGTAAATTATGCCCTTTTAGTATTTAACACAAATTATATTTATAAAGACGGGTTTTACATTATATATAATATTTTGGTTTTGTTGAAAATGTTAAAGACAAATGTTTTATGTCCAAACTAAACTATTAATTAATAAAGTGAGGCGAGAAACCCACACCTGGAGAAAAAACCGCACCATTTTCCTTTTTCTTCTTTTACCCAAATTATTGTGATTTTTTTACTTCCAGAACATGTAAAAATAAAAAAGTCGGGTTATTATAGTTTCTTTTTCTTTCTTTTTGGTGTTTTTTATTCAAAAATACAAAATGATTCGAGTTTGATTTAAAATAAACTATCAAAGAACAAAAATGGCCCGGATTTTTACGTGTTTTCAGTGTATTATAACAGTGTTTCAAATTTGTGTTTATTCAAAAAATAAATATACTATTATATAAACTATATATAGTTTAATGATTTAAACTATATTTTTTAATCTGTAATAGTTTATCAAAACCCAATTTCTAAAAATAGTTCAAATTTTCACAAGACAAATTATATAATATAATAATGAATAGTAAAAATATTCAGAGATTTGCTTTTTTCTATACAAATGATTATTTTTTGATCAAAACATTTTCTTTTATATCTATAATAATAACAAGTCAAAATCAATTACGTTTTCGTGAAGATGCCGTATTAAAGCTCATTTGTGCGTATAATATCACCATTTTTAAATAAGTTCAAAAACAATAAAAAAGTCAAGTTATGTCTTTTTGACACATATATTTTTTATGAAGTTGTAAATAAAAACAAAAATTTTGATATGCAAACGATTGTACATCAACAGTACTATAATGTTTCACTGCTTTATATCATAATGTAACATTATACAAAGAAGTTACAGAATGTGTTTTTTATCGTATCAATCATTATCAATTATAATAAAAATTTATTATATTTTTAATATTTGTTTTTTTTACAAATTATAAAATTATTTAACTTAAATTAAATAATTTTAATAAAAATATTCATAAAAACACCACCAACAAACTATACATATTATTATAATTATATTAATATAAACTATTAAAAAGACTTTGGTTGTTGAAAAATTAAATGGGTTTTATATCCATCTTTTTTTCTCAAATAACTTTTATGAAAACTTTAAATTAAGAAAAACCAGTTCGAATAATCAAACTCAACACAAATAACAGAGATGTGTTTGTGTTGAGTTGTTGCGGATTCCCATTACCGCTTGGCAATTTTATTTATACACATAGCGCATATAAATTAACATTTAGATAATGCAAATTACGCGCGACTAATGTTTGTTTGTTTTTTGTGTTATTTATTATGTTTAAGTGGCTGATAAATACAATTTCTTAACAATTAGAAATGGGTTTAAAGTGGATATAAATTATTGATTACTTATTAGTATTTTTATAGTTAATACTGAAATAACAATCTATAGTTTAGATACTATATTAAACTAATCAATAATTAATTGTTTAAAGTATGTATAAGGAAGTGAACCTTATATTATATGTTTTGATCTAAACATTTAATAAATTATATTAAAATCAAACCAAAATATGTTTAAAAGATTATTAATCACTTTATTAGAAATATCAGGATAATAGATATTAATTTTTAATTTCCTAATAATTTATATTTGTTATTTAAGGTTAATTTCATGTAGTTTTTATATTGTATTTTAATTATAAGAACATTCTTAATTAACCAAAAAACTGAGACTGAACCTTTTTTCATTCAACAGCTTTTCAAAGAAGAAAAAAGAAAATGGGTGCAGGTTTTTCTCCAGGTGTGGGTTTCTCTCCTTACTTTAACAATAAATTATATTACAATAGTATATTATTAATGAACATAAAAATGACAGAATAATCACAAAACAAATTCTATTAACATAGTTAAATAAAAAATAATTTTTTACTATAAAAAATGTTAAAAAATAAATAACAAATTACCACATTGTAACCATAAGTTATTTTTTATGTTATTAAAAAATCATAACAATACTAGTTAATTAGAATAAAAACATACGGCAAATACCAACAAAAACCATCAAAAAATACAAGCCATGTTACTCATTACATCTGACATGTAATAATAACAATTGTCTGTCTATATTTACCATCTACACCTTTTCAGCCTATCCACAGTTAACTATGCCTCAGTATTTTTGACAAATTATATGTTATTTTAAAAAATATTCAATTTCAATAATTTTATTGATTAAATATAGTTTATACAATTAATTAAATGAATTAAAGTTAATTAATTAAATATTTTAGTGTTGGAATTTTTAACAAAAACGTTTTTTTTGCGGCAAATTCATTTAAATGGTAAAAGTAAAAGATGACTTTGACTAAAAATAAAATTTGTTTTTTCTGTTTTAATTTTTAAAAAAATCGCTTTTTTATGAATTCGATCCAAAAAACGTATTTTTTTGTAAACTCTTAGGCAAATTTTATATCAATTACAACAAAAATGTGTAAGATTTTCAAAGCCATTTACATAAAAGTGGTCTATCACGTTAACACTCTAATAATAATAATAATAATAATAATAATAATAATAATAATAATAATAATAATAATAATAATAATAATAATAATAATAATAATAATAATAATAATAATAATAATAATAATAATAATAATAATAATAATAATAATAATAATAATAATAATAATAATAATAATAATAATAATAATAATAAATATTCTACTTTATGATAATTTGGCAATTTTTGGTGGATTTGTGTTTGTGCCTATAAATTTTGGATTATTAATATAAAATTTTTAATAATATCATTGTGTGTCCATTTAATCGCTTTAAAAATATAATCTTTATTTTTTAATTTCTGCCAAAACAGAAGTAGTATATAAATTATGTGTATTTAGGGGGACAACATTTTATCTATATTTTAATTAAATCGCGAGGGACGCGAATCTGAATTTTCCCAAGATTTGGAAATATAGTACCGAGTTTATTTTTAAATTATTTTATTTTTTTTATTTTCCCTAAAATGAGCACAACACAAGAATACAGATTAAATAATTTTTATCAATTTACTAATACCTATTTTGAAGAAGATATTTTAAATTGTTTCACAATTAAAGCCGGAACTATTAAATCAGCATCTACTAAAATTAATAACAAAGAATGTAGAAAAGAATTAATTGATATGGGTATTAACACAAGAGATTTATATTTTCATTTTAAAGCAAAATTAGAAGCTCATGATTATTCTGATGAAACAAGTGAGCGATAGTGAACTTGTTGATGCCTTTTATTGTCCTTTGTGTAACAGGTGTTATATAGAACATAAACAAGACTTTTCAAATAAACACAATGATTTATATAAAAAACAAGGAAAAATCTATATGAAAGCTTTAAAATGTATATATGTAAACGAACTTGACATTATGTTGTATTTATCTATTCTTGATATTCAGAGTGGGCATTATAAGTCGTTCCAAAATATAATTGGAACAAAAAACAATATTTTAGAAATAGAACTTAATTAAACAAGTAAATTAAATGTCGTTTTTTTTAAAAAAAACATCAGTATTAAAAAAAACAATTGTTGATTTGTTTATGAATAATGACACATCAATATCAGAAAAAAATAAGTTTTTCAAAAAGTATAGATGAACAACAACCCATCGAGGAAAAAGCACCCCGTATAATGGAGTGTGATTATATAGAAAGTGAAATTAATAGTGACAATGTAAGTTTAGAATTTTCAACAACAAGTGAACAAATCGATCTAGAAAAGTTATATGATAACTTTTTAAATTCAAGTTTAATGGAAAACATGGAAGATATCTCAGAAGAAAAATTCTTTTTTCAACGAGAACAAAGTGAAAGGGGTTGTACACCCGAACAAACTGTTCAAATACCACAATCCAAAACAACCAATTTTAATGTAAAACAAACTAATATAACTCCTTTAATAACAGCAAGAATCGAGAAAATGGATTTGATTAATTCTTTTTTCAAGAAGCTGATAATTCTACGCAAAATAAGACTGAATTTATAACAAAAAATTAACACTTAAATTCGAAATAAATACTTAAAAACCAAAAATAAAACAATGGTCGATGAACGTAGTGAATATGTTTATGTTTTGTTAATGTTATATGCAACAACAATTAATTTGTCGACATCTGGAATTACTAAAATTGTCGAATTTATTCAGATTGTTATTTTACTTTGTGGAGTCGAGAAAAATGTATTAAACTT